CTGCAGATGCTTAATTTTTTATCATTTTTTAAAAAACATGAATTGGAAGGGTCATGTTGTCCAACCGCCTTCAATGCAGGAATCACAGAAGGAAAAAGGGGGTGGAAAGGAGAAAAAAAGGGGGGAGAAGAGAAAATGGGAAAAGAGGGGAAGGGGGGTACAGAAAAAAAATGTGTGTGTGTATTTTGCCGAGGAGAGATAGCCAGATAATTGAAAATAGTTTATAAGGGTAGATGTTCCCCATTTGACTCTTCCATTCCAATAGCTTATGAAAAGCTCCCATCATTCTACGAACTTGTTCTGTTGCTTGTCTACTGACTAGTGGGTTGTGGATTCGAGTCCCATGTTGGGTAAAAGATTCCTGTGTTGCAGGGGGTTGGTCTGGATGACCCTCGTGGTCCCTTCCAGCTCTACGATTCTCTTCTTGAGTATGTCATATATATTTTTTAAAACCCAACCTGCTTCACTGCTGGGCGCTTGGGATTTCCCCCCAGCAGTTTCAAGAGCAGCAGGTCAGTGGGAAATTCCTGAGAGCCCTCCTCAAAGACAACGCGTGCTGGGCAGGAACAGAGAAGTTTCGGTGGCGTCTTTCGAACTGGTCGCAGTTGTCTGTGTGCCAATGCGAGGCAGAGAAACCCCTCACTGGTTTGCACTGTTTGGCCGAACTCTTGATCCCTGGGTTCTTTAAATGAGAGGTCGCAGCCCAGATCCAGCGAGGAAAAGCAGATAGGACAAAGCACTCTCCAATTATGTTTGTGGTGTGAATAGAGAAAAGGGCTTTGCCTCCTTCTCCAGCCCAGAAGGAGAAGGGGGGGGTGTTTTTTTACTGAGACCCAAACCCACTTTCAGTAGCCCTGATTTCAACAGGCTCTCCTCAGCCTGGATTGATATGAAATGTTGTTGTTGTTGTTGTTGAGTCGTTTAGTCATGTCCGCCTCTTCGTGACCCCCTGGACCAGAGCACGCCAGGCACTCCTGTCTTCCACTGCCTCCCACAGTTTGGTCAAACTCATGTTGGTAGCTTGTAAGGGGTGGGGTTGGCTTAAAAATGTGAACCGGAAACTGAATTTAGTTTTTGTAGTCCATTTGATGCCTTAAACATCCAACAGTGTTATTTAAAGTTCAATTTGACCGGAAAGCCCTGCTGGTGAGTTTTTGTAATGTGCAAATCCAGTTTCCAATTCATTTATTCTTTAGCCGAACTCAGAACTTCACCAGCCTGAATTTTGAAACCCTCTTCGCTCCAATACACAGCACCATCAACACCACCAACTCACAGCCAAAATAATAGTGTGGCATTGTCGTTGTTGTTTAGTTGTTTTGTCGCGTCCGATTCTTCGTGACCCCATGGACCAGAGCACGCCAGGCACTCCTGTCTTCCACTGCCTCCCCCAGTTTGGTCAAACTCATTCTGGTAGCTTCGAGAACACTGTCCCACCATCTCGTCCTCTGTCGTTCCCTTCTCCTTGCGCCCTCCATCTTTCCCAAAATCAGGGTCTTTTCCAGGGAGTCCTATCTTCTCATGAGTATTGGTGACTCAGCTTCAGGATCTGTCCTTCCAGTGAGCACTCAGGGCTAATTTCCTTCAGAATGGAGAGGTTTGATCTTCTGGCAGTCCATGGGACTCTCAAGAGTCTCCTCCAGCACCATAATTCAAAAGCATCAATTCTTCAGGGACCAGCCTTCTTTATGTTCCAGCTCTCACTTACATACATCACTACTTCTTTACATCAGTTCCATATATCACTACGAAATAGGTCACGACTTTTCTTTCTTTTTGTCCCCTTTCCCATTTCAAGTGTGCAGATCAAAAGACATAAACCACTTCCTCATGTGTAATGAAACCTATTCAACTCCCTGCCACAAGCCGTGGTGATAAATAGCAGCTCGGGTGGCTTTAAAAAGAAATTGGGCAAATTTGGAAAGCCTTAGGTATGCTTACTGACTATGATCGCAAATGCCATTTGTAAGACATCTGGTCTGTGCAAACCAGCAGTTGAGGTTTTACAATGTTCATTTTATGAACTTGCAAAGGAACGGAGGACTCCATGCGACCCTCTGACCTCTCCCAGCAACTCCAGTTTTGCAATGCCCATTTTGAAGCGAGAGAGTCTTACAGATTGTTTTGCTTTGCAAAAGCTGGAGTCTGATGGGGTGACATCTTCAATCATGAGGATTTTTGTTGTTGTTTTTCAGCAGCAAAACATTTGCACTGGATATCCCCTCCATTTCATTTGTGTAGTCCAAATTTCTGCAAAATATATTGACACAATTCCAGGAGGGGGATTTATCAGACCCCTTTGGGGTTCCGGGTCAGGCCCCACTTTGTCACACCCCCCTTAAACTTCTTCGGATGGGAGGACACAAACCAATGGATTCAAATTTCAGGAAAGAAGATTCCTATTAGGGAGAATTTACTGAGAGTAAGAGCTGTTCAACAGCAGAACAGACCAGTTCAGGAGGTGATGGACTCTCCTTCATTGGAGATTTTCAAACGGATGTTGGATGGGCATCTGTCTGCTGTGATTCCTGCATTGAGAGGCTGGCCTTGATGACCCTTGGGGTCCCACCCAACTACAAATCTGTGGTTTGGTATGGAAGCCTCTTCAGAACTGGGAAGACTAAATGCTTTCCATCAGCAAAATGGTGGGGCGAGCCATAGCCTTCCCTGCTTGCCAAAGCTCAGACCTATCCTCAATTCCATGCAAGTTAGCAGCGGAGGTGTCAAGGTTTGTTGAGATCTCGGGGAAGCGTAATCCGCAGATTGCCATTATTTGCCCCCAAGGGGTAGGGAGAGACTGTGGAATGGGGTAACTGCCCCAACCGACTTCGGATGACAGGGATGTTTAGGCTAGCAAGGAAGAGGAGGACAGCTGCTTGGTCCTGCGAGAAGATTTCAGAGGTTGAGCCATGGGGCAGGGGGAAGGCGGATGCTGCAAGCTCCAGTCTAGTGGGTAGGGTGGCAAAGGTGGTAAAGGGACCCCTGACCATTAGGTCCAGTCGTGACCGACTCTGGGGTTGCGGCGCTCATCTTGCTTTATTGGCCGAGGGAGCCGGCGTACAGCTTCTGGGTCACGTGGCCAGCATGACTAAGCCGCTTCTGGCGAACCAGAGCAGCGCACGGAAATGCCGTTTACCTTCCCGCCGGAGCGGTACCTATTTATCTACTTGCACTTTGAGGTGCTTTCAAACTGCTAGGTGGGCAGGAGCTGGGACCGAGCAACGGGAGCTCACCCTGTCGTGGGGATTTGAACTGCCGACCTTCTGATCAGCAAGTCCTAGGCTCAGTGGTTTAACCCACAGTGCCACCCACGTCCCGGCAAAGGCAGTGGGGGGTGGCAATTTCAGCTGGGGAGTGGATATCAGGGAGTTAACCAGCAACAAATCACATAGAGTACAGGAACTCTTTATTAGCAGAAACAAGGTCTGGCCAGAGGAGTCACAACAACCTTCTCAGTAGGCCTTGCCCCTTTGAGGCAGTTGTGGAGACCAAAGGTCCCCGCCTTCCTACAGCTGCATAAATCTCCTCCCCAAGGTCATCCTCAAGCAATCTGAGACGCTGTCTCCTTGTCTGTCTTTGCTCCATCCTCTTCATACCTCTTCTGGTTCTGGAAGGCCAGTGGGGAGGGGATCTGGTGGCAGCAGGAGCAGAAGACCCCCTGGCTCCCTCACCAGCTTGACTCATCTCTGCCTCTTGGCCACCCTCCTCTCCTGCATCAGCTCCAACTCTTGCTTCTGGACTTCTCTCTGCCACAGACTCTTCCCGCTCACTAAACCCTGTTTCCTCTTCAACTTCTGTCTCCTCCTCTTCTGCCTGTGGCCACTCATTGTTGTCCCACTACCAATCCCCGGGCTCTGAGCCAACCACTGAACAGAACTGCAGCCCTAAAGGCAATAAGAACACCAAGCAGCTCTCGATATTTTGCCGAAACAGCCTAAAACAATCCCATTTAGTTTAAGCCCAAGTGTGTGTTACTATCAAAGGCCTGCAGTCAATTGCTTTGCAGAGTATTTTTGGCTGAAGAGACTTAAAGACCTAAGGAGCGGCTGTGACGCTCGATCCCATCCTCGTTTGCATCTTATTTCACAAGTGTTTTTGGAACTAATTGATTTGCTGCCGTAGCTGTTTTGTACTCTTGCTTTTGCTCTATCTCCTTGCGATCTGAACACCCAGTACTGGTTCTGCTGGTCTTGTATAAGATGGTTCACACCTGCCTCTTAAACGGCTGAACTTCCCCTCCTTTGCACCACCCGTGATTAATCCGAACCTCTATTTTGTCCATCTACCCCAACATTTTAAGAAGGCGTCAGTAATTGCATTCGCTTCAGTTAAAATCTTATAAAGCTTCTGGCTGTAGCCCAACATTCATCAGGGGTGCAAGCATGCGCCCCCCAGGTAAAGAAAAAAGCAAAAAAGAATCTCAACCAGGAGACACATGCTCAATGCGACCTGGATTCCTGATTCTATGGGAGTTTCCCATTGGGGGCATCTGGCAAGCCACTGAGGTCAGGATTCTGGACTTAATGGGCCATTGGGCCTCAGGACTGATGAGGGCGGGGTGGGGGGAAGCTGGGGGCCCCAGTCTGGAAGGGGCCCCGGGCCCCAATTATCTTGCGTATGTTTTCATCTTTCTTAGTACTACGATTACTTCTCTACTGTAAAAGTCAGTGAATTCCACCAAGTGCTTCTGACTCCCTGCAAAAGCTATTTCATAAAAGCTATGCACTGTTTGGTTGTAAAAACAGCCAGCACCTCAAAGTGGTTTAAAAAAATATAAAATGGGAAAATTGAGAAAAAACGTGCAAGAATAGTTTAAAGCATACAAGAAGTCAACATAGTAATACAGGTTAAAATTCGCGTCCATTTTCAAAGTACCTGAACGGGGCAGAACAGGAATTATTTTAGTGGGTGCTGCAAAGAATACATGGAAAGCGCTTGACTGATTTCAATAGGCAGGGAGTTCCAAAGTGCAGGTGCTGCCGCACTAAAAGATTGGTTTCTTACAAATTAGCTCAGCCAGTAGAGCATGAGACTCTTAAGCTCAGGGTCGTGTGTTCGAAATCCACGTTGGGCAAAAGATTCCTGCATTGCAGGGGGTTGGACTGGATGACCCTCAGGGTCCCTTCCAACTCTACAGTTTTATGATTCTATGAAATGTAGAATGGGTACCCTGTGTGGCACCTGTAGCAGTGGCAATTCTGCCAGTCAAAGCGGTCGAGTGGGCGCATGTGGAATAAGGCAGTCTTCTGAGACACTGCCATCTCCTCGTATGATGCACGGCTGCATTTGTGAACACCGTGCGAAAACAACAACAACTAATAATAATAATAATAATAATTTATTATTTATACCCCACCCATCTGGCTGGGTATCCCCATGGATGGTTGTGCGGTGCCCATTCCTTTGTGTTACACAGACAAGTTCAACGTTCAACGTTCAACGTTCAAAATGTCCTCTTCTTCTTCTTTGGTTATCCCTTGTAGCAGAGTAAGATTGTCTTCCATGAACATGGTTTTAACAGTGAGTCCATAAGCGACTGTGGAGGCCAGTTCTGGATCCACACCTCCTTCCACAGTGGGGACATTGGTTTCCGGGTGGAAGTAGATCATGGTGTGAATTTGCCAAGCATGCCTTCCTCTTAGCACGTTTCTCCCTTGCGTCCTGAGTTTGAGTGTCTTCAAAGCCCATGACACCTTTGGCAAAGGCTGTTCTCCAACTGGAGCGCTCGCAGGCCAGTGTTTCCCAGTTGTTGGTGTTTATACTACCTTTTTTTTACCGCCTTGAGATAGTCCTTAAACCTCTTTTGTTGACCACCAGCATTACACTTTCCATTTTTAAGTTGAGAATAGAGTAGTTGCTTTGGAAGATGATCATCAGGCATCCGCACAACATGACCAGTCCAACAAAGTTGATGTTGAAGAATCATTCCTTCGACACTGGGGATCTTTGCTTCTTCCAGTACACTGGTATTAGTTCCCCAAAATGTATGCTTAGTTCAGTAGTAATCGTGGGGCTGATTATATTATCAAAATTAGCCATTTGGATCTTAACCTTCTCAACAGGAACTAACATTTACATATTTATCATTAACATAAAAGTGAGATCACACATCTGTTTGATATCCTGTGTAAATAATTTTAGCTGCTCCGTGCTTGCTGGGGGAAGACCCTGCTTTCTCCACTGGGACTTGAATCTCTTCTTGGCATCCCTGTGGGCCTGATTCTACCGCAGATCTTTCATTAGGTTCTTTGATGCATGGCAAATGGTGTCACCAACAGGACACAGAAGCCCAGAGTAGGAACAGTTCAGTTTTTCTAGTTTTGCTTTCAAAGGAACACAGTGAGAGATATAATTTGACGCTTGATCTATTAGCTGTTCTGTTTGGTGGTATTAAAACAGGCAGCCTTGGAGAATGGTAAAGAAATTATCATTTCTTTAGGATGGCAGCTAGGATGGGAACCAGCCATTAATCAGAGATTGGACTGTCCTCTGTCATGTTTGATGTAGTCGAGATCCTTGCATTGCAGGGGGTTGGTTCTAGAAAACCCTCAGGAACCCTGCCAGGTCTACAGTTCTGTTTTTCTAACCATTTACTGGGAATTGACATTTGTTTATATCATATTTCTATCCCACCTTTCCCCCCAAAGGAGCTCCCTATTTAATCCCTACACAACAACCCTACCAGATAGGTTAGGCTGAGAGGCTGCACCTGTCACTCAAGGTCACCCAGTGAGCTCAGGTGTGGCCGAGTGGGGAGATTCGAACCCTGGCCTCTCCCAGCTCCTGGTCCGCTCTCTAACCACTACACCACCGCTGCCTCTTTTTACGCACACTCTTCTCTGGCCCAGTTCTGTCAGCTCTCTCTCCTCTTCCTCTAGCACAACTAGAGAATCGACTGCATTGAGCGTGGGGGGGGGGGTTATTTTCAATCGCCCGGATTCCCCTCCCAGGAAATATTCACCATGAAGATGGAGACGGCGTTGCGTGGGAACAGTTCGGCCACCATAACGCCCCTTCCAACTTGCCGCCCTGCTTTTGTCTGCTTCCCCCGGACTTAAAAATGGCAACGGCAAATGAGTCACTGCATTTTGAGACCACCTACACACATTCTCCAGACATAGCTGCTGGAGCCACCTGAATATTGTGGGTCCCCAGAGTCCCTGAGCTCTAAATCCTCCTGCTCAGATGTTTGTGGCCGGGACATCTCTGCCCTCAGCTGTCAGGGGGATCCCCAAACCCCACAGCCAGGCGGAGAGGCTCAGACCTCACTGAATAGCTCTCGCACCGTAAAAGGATTGCAATTCCACTTTGATCGGTGGAACGGGCACCCATACATGTGCCATGTAATACCCATTGCACGTTTTAAAGAACTGCGGGACTCCCTGCCACTTGACATCAACCAGGCAGCTTCACTGTGCTCTGTCCGGTCCATGCTCAAAACATCTTTATTTAGACAAGCCTGTCCAGGGACTTAAGAAAGTTGAGTTTAATCATCATCATCATCATTTTTTATTTATACCCCGCCCTCCCTGGCCAGGGCCGGGCTCAGGGCGGCTAACACCAAATATAAATTACAATAAAATGTAACAGAAAAAAAGAAGAAGAAAACCAGTTAATTAAAATACAGCCTCATTCTAGTAGTAGCCCATAAATCAAGAACATAAAGGGAGGAAACATCAGATATTCACCCAAGCCAGCTATCCATGCTGGTCCTACATGGGCCAGCAAAAAAGGCAAGGGGAAATTTATATACCAAATCCCGTATAAGACCAGGCGGAACAGCTCTGCCTTGCAGGCCCTGTGGAAAGATGTCAAATCCCGCAGGGCCCTGGTCTCTTGGGACAGAGCGTTCCACCAAGTCGGGGCCAGTACTGAAAAGGCCCTGGCTCTAGTTGAGAGTTTCAATCTGTCTTTAGTCTATTGCTGTTTTAACCTTTCAAATGTATTCAATCGTTGTTGCTCATTCTTCTTAGTGATAAATTTATTGTTTCATCTTTCATGTAATCTGCTATTTTATTTGTTTGTTTGTTTGTTAAAATCAAGCGGAATATAAATTTCACGAAATGAAATGAAATGAAATAATGAAATAAGCAACAAAATGAATTGCCTTTCTGCACACAAGGACCTAAGCTAACCTCAGCATGGTCAAGGATTGAAGAGGGTTGTGTAACATCAGCCCCTGTCATTGGCGGGTAGTATAAAGTGTCTTGATTGGCCAGGCCTGTTGTCACTCCAAGGGAATCTTGCCTTACTCCGGTTAACATTGGGAGGGATGGAGGAGAAGGATGGAGGAGAATTTTCATCTGATCTACCTATTGAAGCAAAACCAAAACCTACTTTTAAAAACTTTTTTTTTTTTTTTTTTTTTTACACCAACCAGCCTAATAGACCGACTGGAAATGAATCATCCTTCAGAGTTCGCGCTTTATCTGAATTTTGTGATGCATTCCTTGGCTCTGAAAAATGCACCCTGTGAGGTCCCTGCCAGGATTTGCGGGGAGGGAACCCAAAGGACGATCTTCTCCGTTAGAGGTGCATCTGTCTCTGTTATGTACTGAGTTGAATAGGATCCAAATGCAGCAGTCTGATTGGTCCTAGAACAACAGGATTCAGAATGCAGCAGTCTGATTGGTCCTAGAATGATAGGATTCAGAATGCAGCAGTCTGATTGGTCCTAGAACAACAGGATTCAGAATGCAGCAGTCTGATTGGTCCTAGAATGATAGGATTCAGAATGCAGCAGTCTGATTGGTCCTAGAACAACAGGATTCAGAATGCAGCAGTCTGATTGGTCCTAGAACAACAGGATTCAGAATGCAGCAGTCTGATTGGTCCTAGAACAACAGGATTCAGAATGCAGCAGTCTGATTGGTCCTAGAATGATAGGATTCAGAATGCAGCAGTCTGATTGGTCCTAGAATTCAGGAGCAGTCTGATTGGTCCTAGAATAGGATTCAGAATGCAGCAGTCTGATTGGTCCTAGAATGATAGGATTCAGAATGCAGCAGTCTGATTGGTCCTAGAACAACAGGATTCAGAATGCAGCAGTCTGATTGGTCCTAGAATGATAGGATTCAGAATGCAGCAGTCTGATTGGTCCTAGAACAACAGGATTCAGAATGCAGCAGTCTGATTGGTCCTAGAATGATAGGATTCAGAATGCAGCAGTCTGATTGGTCCTAGAATGATAGGATTCAGAATGCAGCAGTCTAATTGGTCCTAGAATGATAGGATTCAGAATGCAGCTGTCTGATTGGTCCTAGAACAATAGGATCCAGAATGCAGCGGTCTGATTGGTCCACAGGAGCCACCCAATCCAGCTCCAGGTGGAAGTGAATCCACAACCTGATTGGCTTACAGGAGAATCCCAGAATTAGCCAATCACGTGGGGCCCATTGTGTAAATAATGTATATAAGGCAGACATTCTGGGGGAACTTCCATTCCTCCTCACCACTATGAGCTGAATAAAGAGCATGAAATCCACTCTCGACTCCGAGTATATTTCAGTCTCATATTTCAGTCTCCAACATGGTTGGTTTTCTGGTGTCGGATGTAGTTTTTTATGCTCCCAGGTTTTCAGGGATAATCGCTCTCCTGGGGGAAATAACAGCAAAATTGAAATGAACAAAAGGAATGAAAACATGAGGACACTTTTGCCGGAGCATGGATGGAACTTTATAATGTACACCAGCATCCGAGGAAACAAAAGGCCAGCCCCAGAGGTAAGTGCCAACTTGTGGATTTGAGTAACAAATAGTAATTTGCTTGTAAATGATGATGATTGATGATATGAACTTACTACCTGCCTTTATTCACCAACAGCTTCAATGAATTTGTCCAATCCTCTTTTAAAGCCATCTAAGTTGGTGGTCGGGAGGGACGCGGGTGGCGCTGTGGGTTAAACCACAGAGCCTAGGACTTGCCGATCAGAAGGTCGGCGGTTTGAATCCCCACGACGGGGTGAGCTCCCGTTGCTTGGTCCCTGCTCCTGCCAACCTAGCAGTTTGAAAGCATGTCAAAGGGCAAGTAGATAAATAGGTACTGCTCCAGCGAGAAGGTAAACGGCGTTTCTGTGC